GCAGGGTCTGGCGTCCTCCTGCCCAGTGCCAAGGTCCTCAGCACCGACTGTTGTCGCGGTGGCCTGGATGGGTGGCGGGCTTTGTGCTGTCGTTGTCTTGGAGCCCCAAGGCATAGGTCAGTCTCTGGGCGGTGGGGGAATTCGACTTTCGGAGGCTACTGACCAGAAGCCCCTGGAAAAAGACCCCCTGGGCCTGGTGGTAAGCCCAGGGGTTCCAAAAGGGCCACTGTGCAGGTGGCTGCCACTGAGGGTGCCAAGACACCACACCTGCATCGTGTTAGTGCCTGTCTGACTTGTGCTGGCTACGTCGTAAATAGAAGGATTCCGAATCAGAGTCCAACGAAGCCAGCCTCGACCGTGAGGACCGTGGCGGCGCCGATGGGGACCAGTGTCGAGGAGCCGGTGCTGGGGACCGGTGTCACTCCACCCTCGATGTCGGGGAGGGTGATCGCCACCTCGATGGTGTCAGGGAGCCTTGCTGGAACCCACCTCCGGCGAACGGTGCCGTAACACGGAAGATTGGGAGGGCAACTGCCTCATCATGGCCGGCTTGCTTCTATACGGTGCAGGTCGTTGCAGCACTGGAGGCTTGTTTCTGACTGCTGGGGCTGAGGTATTGTCATGGCAATCAGATCCCTGGCAGCTTCAAAAGTTTCCAGGGTGGATGGCAGGTCTAACTCCTCCACGTGAGGATTGCCTTTCAGGAGTGTTGCTGGGCACCGGACTCAACGGTCCCCTTAACGGGACCGAAGTTGATGGCACCAAGTCCGGCGCTCTTGGCGCCAAGTACTCCAGCATAGGACGCACTGCTACTGCGCCAACCGGCACCACCGTCTTCGGCACAGGGGAGTGATCCCGTCAGTCTTTCTGTGCCACTTGTGCGGCACTGGGGAGTGAGAGCGGTGCTGGGTTGTCTCCACAGCCTGTGGTGCCGGGGCACGCCAGTGCCATGGATCTCTTAGGCCAGAGTCCTTCCTCTGCACCTTGTTGCGCACGGAGGCTGGGGCGCTCGGCACAGACACGCTCGGTGCTGGGTCCTGGTGGTCCATGGCAGGCTTGGGGCAAAGAGCGGACTCCATCAAGAGCTCTTTAAGACGGAAGTCTTGCTCTTTCTTCGTCCTGGGGCGGAATGCCTAACAGATCCTACACATGTCTGGTGCGTCTCTCCCAGACACTTTAGGAATGCGTCATGGGGGTCGCCTGTTGGCATAGGTTTACTGCAGGTTCCGCAGGGCTTAAACCCTCGGGACTGAGGCATGCCCCAGAACCCAGGGGAAGGGGAAGGGATTGGGGGGTAGCCCCACCCCCAATACCTTCTCTACAAACTATAACTACAAACTAAAAACTAACAGCTACTATAAACACTAAGGGAAGCACTTGCTATGCAAGCGACCGCAGTTCCAATGACGGTCTCTGGTGGTAAGAAGGAACTGAGGAGGGGCTGGGTTGGCAGGGTCATATAATTGGCGCCATGAAGGCACCACTCCAGAGGGCTCCACCGCCAACCCGACGGGTGCTGCTAGGGGAAAAACTTTCCAACGACTGTGCACACGGCATGCACACACCTAATTGGAAACATCAGAGTGTTGTGGTTTTTGTTTTACTGACACCCACTCTTTTACTCCATATTTATTTGATTCTCTCAGCACATACTACATGGTCGCTGTGCAAAGTTAATACAGACTTTCATAAATTGCTTATGAGTAGTTCGCAAACTGGAACTTCCAAGTGTCTCAGTAGTTACACTTACATCTGACAGTCTTGAAACAATACTACTTCCTGCCAGTTGTAGCCTGGTGGAGCACTCTGGGTCTCCAGAGGCTTTTTTGATCAATTAAACTGAAAGGGAAAAGGGAAAGAACAAGCTGCAATAAGGGCAGTGCTTTGTCAGGTGTTTCTTTAGAACAAATTCAATGGTGCTCATATTTGCAGATGACCACAGAATAAGAAGGTTCGCAAATGCATGAGAGTGCAGAACCAAAGTGCAACGTGACCTGGAGAGTTGTGGGAGCTATGGTCGGGATAGTCACCAGTAAGATACGTAAAGGCCTATACCTAGAGAGTGGAAATAAACAGCACAGAAACAAACTGGGCTCTGGAGAGTAGAGGTTTAACCAAGCTGCCACATCATACCCCCCGAAAACAAATTTGTTTTCATGTTGTCCCAAAATCACCAAGCAGCCTAGTTGTCAGTGTGATTGCCAAAGGGAGACTGGGAAGAAGTTGAGAACTACCAGCTTCAAAAATGTCATTGCTCCAGTTGTTGTGGAGGAAACAAAACAGCTGAGTGGAGATTCTCTCTGCTTCCAGCCTGGAGAAGCTCGCATCAGAAATCTCACAGCAACCAGACCTAACCTCACCCTTTCCTCAAACTGGGGTAAATAAATGCTCAGAGAGGGGCCTGGCTTCCCGATCAACCTTAACATGTCTAAATGGAAGTATTCCAGTTTTACTTCTCCAACTGCTTCAAGTTCAGACAGAGATATCCACTAGCTCAGCCAGGGTAGGAGTGTTGGCAAACAATGATTGATAAATACCTTTGTTCTGAGGGAAGCAGCTGAAGTTTCCTTCACAAAGCAGGTGCATATCGCTATGGCTACTGAGATGCATATTGCCAGAGACACAGAATAGCTAAGTGGACATCATCAGTGATAGGGAGTCAGGAGACCTGGGTTCTGCCCCAGCTTTGCCACTGTCTTGCTGTATGTCCAAGAGCAAATCAGCTAAACTCTTTGTGTCTTAAGTTTCCCCATATGCGAAATGGTACTTACCTTTGAGATCTACTGATCAGTGTTGTGATCATTTTGTAAGACAGTGGATAAGCATTATCAGAAGTACAGATCTCGGTACCATTCTCCTATTTCCACTGGACTGTAAATTAAGCCGTTTGATTGGTGCTTTCCCCAGGCATGCTGTGTGTGCATCAACAGACACGTGTACAAATATATAAATGACCACACTTTTCTTATGGGAAAGCAGTTTGCGTATTTGTGAGTTGGGTAAGATTTCTTGACATGTTTCTGTGTTATCTTCATTTGCATCTAACTTCTTCATTATCTGGGACAGTAGAAAGGCCACAAAGCTCAAAGACAGTCTGCTTGTGAATTATATTATGTGCTGTAAAATCTAGTTTTTACATCCCTTCTGGTCGTAAGAGGCCCTGCAGAGTGCAAACCACTGCACTACCACCTTCATGAACTGTACTGGAAAAAACACACAAAAATGGGGAACTCAAGAAACTGTAGTTTATTACTAAACAAGTGTTTCAAGGCTTATCCATGGAGTTCACTGGGAGTTTTGCCTGAGTAAAGACTGCAGAACCTGAGGCTCATCTCTTGTATGCCATGAAGACCTATCTATTAGAAGAAATGCTAATTTCTATTTTGCTAGAACTACGCTCTTCTAATCCCTGCATTTAACTTCCCTGGTCATGGGGAATTCACATACTAATCCAGCTCTTTAAGAATCTTTTACAACGCTAAGTCTGACAGAAGGATGCAACTTGAACAAATATTATATAAACAGATTTGTGAATAGGCACAGTATATAACAAACAAAATGTTTACAAGACACCAAGATATTACAGGATGTTGTCATAACCCATTTAAAAGCAAACATGGCAACCACAATCATTCAAACTGCAAAATTAATTTTGTTTACCTGCAGTTAGATCCCTTATACAAGATCTCTGAAAAGGGAAGCGTTAGTATAATTAAACAACTCATGAGCTTGACATTAATTCAAGTAATTAATTACTTGAGGTCATCCGATTACTGTGTTCTAATGTTGTTAAGATA